TAAATTGTAATAAATGCTACTTTAATATACCAAATATCACTACTTGATTTATGTGAAAATGGTGGTTTTAAATCCAAACTTACCGAATGTAAGAACAACCTTCAGACTTCGAGTTTGTTACCGAAATATTGGCACGAATTGCAGGGCTTGAGCTGATTCGGAAGATAAGATAATCATAAAGATCCTGCTTCAAATTATCGTTTATCGTTACTCTGTCTAATGAGATAAAGTGGAAAGCCAATGAACTGACGATTTCCTGGAATGCTGTTCGTACAGTTACTACCACCTGTCAAAGATGTTAAATCCTATAATACAGTTATTACATATACATTTTTCAACATTAGCAAGAACGTTAGGAGCTATAGTGATAACAGTGAAACTTCCAACAATTAGAATCTCCCAACAAAGCTTTCATATTATTAACTGCATTAATAACCCAAAGGTGGTTGTTTAAATCAACTCTCCAAACCGTGCATTATTCCTTTTTTTGACATTAAAGGGTTGTACTGCCCCTCTAAAAAACACACAAAAAACTACAGGAAAGAAAAAGCACTAATAACCTTACGTTGTTCAAACAAAACTTCTATTAAGCTTGGTACTTCTGTTTACATTAACAGCTAATTATGTGTGTACATGAAATATTATCAACAGCACATTAGCAACCTGTAGTTATCATTGTAAACTATAATTGAGAATGGAACCCGAGTGTTTCTTTAAACTTCAGTTTCCCCAGGCAACTGAAAATATATCTTTTTCAGTGACGTTTTCTCGGTTGGTAAAAAGAGAAAGAAAACGAGTTTACATTCGTAGAGAATTTATTTTTACAGAATTGAAGAAAACAAAAATTATTGTACGTTTCATAAACATTCAATGTGTGTTCAACCAAAAAAATCGGAAGTAGCCTTGAAATTCAACTTGAGGCAAATGTCGCATATATGTGTGTTCAACCAAAGAACCGGAATTAGCCTTGACATTCAGCTTGAGGCAAATGTCGCATATATGTGTGTTCAACCAAATAACCGGAATTAGCCTTGACATTCAACTTGACGCAATTATCGCTTAGAAACATTGTCTGGATTCGTTTTATATGCCCCCCAGTGGCACAGCAGTATATCTGCGGACTTACAATGCTCGAAACCGGGTTTCGATATCTGTGGTGGGCAGAGCACAGATAGCCCATTGTGTAACTTTGTACTTAATTACAAACAAACAGATCGTTTTATATTGCCATTTATTTCTAAAACTTGCTTACTTAGTTTTAAACCATTTTCACACACATATAAAATCGTGCAGTTTTTCCGGATGAAATGGGTGTTTAATTTCCATAATGTGGAATGCAAACGTTGAGTTCATTTTCTTCAAGTTTCTTCTTAGTAACCTGAGAGAAGCTAGCGTATTTTTTTTTGTTTCAGAAGTTGTCAATTCAGAAACTTTTATAAAAACTACACTGTTCCCATCATTAGAAATACGATTGTGTAAAATATATATTTGTACCATCAGCCTGACTTTGTAATCTAAAACTAAAGAAGAATGTTATTAAAACTTCTTTAGGAATTCCTATAATAAGAATACTATTAATCTATTTTCCTAGAGATAACTGAAAAGATAAGGTTTATGATTTGCAATCTTTCTTCTTAATGAATATACGAACCACACTAAGTTTGGGTTTCACTACTTCTAACTGAAATTACAAACCTTGAGCCACGGTGGGAACTGGAGGATATGTCTTGTCAAGAAAGAAGCAATAGTATCTCCATAATCAGGCCTGTGAAACTCTGCTTCATTTAAACCATCTATTACAATAAGGCACAAGGTATTTGCTATCCTTCCAAGTTTTCTAAGTGAGTGTAGAGGTTCAAGAATTCCTTTAATGAAAGCGGTACTGGGGTCTACCATACAGGACGACATTGCTAGTAAGTCTTGAAACCTAGGTTACACAATACAGTTTATGATGTTGCGAAGTCATTTAAGTGTTTTAAACTTTTTTGTTTATGTAAATGACTGGGAAAACATTATTCACTTATGCTGTGTACACTGGCGTTCATCGATTAGTTAAAAAAAAAAGATCAATGCAGCAAAACAAGCCTTTTGTAACTTTAGTAATCATATATAATAAAAAAAGTTTCCCAGTTCAGTCCATCGTATCTTACAAACAGTATGGCTTAGGAAGATAAAATTGCATAGAATTTTAAGGGTATCGTGCGGATGCAAATGCCACAATTGTCAAGAGTTACCACCAGAGGCGCCATTGTGATTTCCTTAGCATATTTTCCATGGGCGTAAGTGTCAACCGCAGAACAAGTGTGCGTAGAAAGTTGAACTAGTGAAATTTTATCGCACCAAATGCCACAATTGTCACGAGTTACCACCAGAGGCGCCATTGTGATTTCCTTAGCATATTTTCCATGGGCGTAAGTGTCAACCGCAGAACAAGTGCGTAGAAAGTTGAACTAGTGAAATTTTATCACAACAAAGGATGCAATGTTGAGGCATCTCTTCGCGGACTACCGTGGGGGCATAATATCCTTCCGCGTGTTCATAAAAATATTGGGGAGACAGGTTGTGATAAGCCACGTACAGGCAGACCACTGGCATCTACTGAAACAATTTGTTGAGGTCACTCAAGCCGTAGCTGAACAAATCAGCACAGGTGCACATGGGTGCACTTTATACCACCTGGTATCTGTATTTGCAAATTTCAACTGTTTGTAAGGCTCTTTTGGATATCTTTGTGAATGTTGCCTTACAAGCTGTATCGTGTTCAAGCACTGAAGAAGGCAAACTTGACCTGACGTGTTTTGCGTTGAAGTGTTTGGCAAGACTGGAATTCGATGACAAATGGTCTTCCAATATTTTACGGGCAGAAGAAACACCCTTTCTGGAAGTGTCAACACGCGACATTGCATTATCTGGCCGGAAAGTAATCCACATGCAACATCACCTCTATGATGCTAAGGTAATAGTCTGGTGTGGTGTCACAACTGACTTTGTCAATGGAAACTACTTTCTTGAAGAATCATCAGCACATGAGCTGCAGCCAGTGCTGCACATTACCATGCAATGCTCACAATCAATGTGATTCACACACCGTAGCAACGAAATGCGACAGACACTACGGTTCTCATGCAGGATGGTGGCCTTTCGCATATTGGTAACCAGGAGCACTTATTGGAGCACTTTCAGGACAGACTCGTTTAACCTCATGTTCCTTGCCAATGACCACCTCGTTCACCTAACCGAACACCAGTTGATTTCTGGCTGTGGAGGTACCTGAAGTCATGCGTGTACTGTAGAAAGCCTCGCACAATTCCAGACTTGAGAGATGCAATTTTCCAGTAAGTGGCCAACACACCAGATTAGATGAGAGTTATTATAGCATTGTCACATGGACACAGTACATTCTAGACGTTGGAGGAGCACATTTTGAACAGTTACTGTGACTGATAAGATATTGGGTTCTAGTGGTGCAACTGGTGGCAACGTGTGACAACTGTGAAATTTACATACTTATGATATCCTTAATACCCCATGTGTAATTTCGGTTTATGAGATACCACTCACTGAGCTGCGAAACTTTCTTTATTACCACCCTGTATATAACAGATTCAAAAAAGTAAAAAAATGGAAGATTCCAGAGAAACTTGAAAATGTAAAAACCTTGTTCACATCAAAACATTTAGTAATTCAAGTCAAAACGTTTATTCAACCATGTTCAGTTCAGAACGTTTGTTTACTCCTGTTCAAGTCAGGAAGTTTGTGTAACCCTGTTTAGGACAAAACGTTTGTTCAACACTTTTCAGGACACTACGAATATTTTACCCTGTTACGTTCAGAATGTTTGTTTAACTATGTTCAGGTCACTACGTATATTTTACCCTGTTACGTTCAGAATGTTTGTTTAACTATGTTCAGGTCACTACGTATATTTTACCCTGTTACGTTCAGAATGTTTGTTTAACTATGTTCAGGTCACTACGTATATTTTACCCTGTTACGTTCAGAATGTTTGTATAACTATGTTCAGGTCACTACGTATATTTTACCCTGTTACGTTCATAATGTTTGTTTAACTATGTTCAGGTCACTACGTATATTTTACCCTGTTACGTTCAGAATGTTTGTTTAACTATGTTCAGGTCACTACGTATATTTTACCATGTTACGTTCAGAATGTTTGTTTAACTATGTTCAGGTCACTACGTATATTTTACCCTGTTACGTTCAGAATGTTTGTTTAACTATGTTCAGGACACTACGAATATTTTACCCTGTTACGTTCAGAATGTTTGTTTAACTATGTTCAGGTCTAAAAGTTTATGTCGACTTTTCTAAGTATTCTGTAATCTGAAAACGATGTTTTCTGACCAACAAACAGTACAATGTGTAAATGTTATATATATATATAATATCTGTCCTTACCTTCTCTCCTTAAGAAGTAACTCTCTATATCCTGCTAGCTGTGGTGACTGACATAGCTGGGCAGCCATATTGTGTACATATTCAGGCACCAGACACGTGACGTTGTTGTCAGCCTGACAAAAATGATAGGCTACCACGTGACCCCCAAGAAATCGAGCAGCCTCCTGAGTCAGGCTAAGTCGAGACTGATAGGTGGGAGTGCCATCTCCACTTGACGTAGACATTGCGTCACTTCCGCTACTGGAGAGAGTATCTACAGATACATATGTATTAACTATAGATTTATTTGTTTTAACATTAACCCAATGGAGCTTCAAAACCTTCAAAATATTCCTGGTTATATAACCTGTATTTCAACCAATAACACAAACACATCGTTTTTAAATACTCACGATGAGGGTTGGTTAATGGAGGAAGTTTTTGGTTACCAAACAGCCTGGTGTCAATATAATTACTTACAGGCGAGCTAGCGGATTTCATTTGTGTATTGTTGTATATATTCACACAAAGCTACACAATGTGTAGATATAGTCACACAAAGCTACACAATGTATATATATACTCACACAACGCTACACAATTTGTATATATATATTCACACAAAGCTACACAATTTGTATATATATATATTCACACAAAGCTACACAATTTGTATATATATATTCACACAAAGCTACACAAAGTACACGTGCTCTAGTCGTCCACAATCTTGAGCTGACAGAATAGATGTCAAGCAGCGAGTCAACACTACCCACTCTCTGGCTACTCTGCTAGTCAACACTACCCACTCTCTGTCTACTCTGCTAGTCAACACTACCCACTCTCTGTCTACTCTGCTAG